TTTTGTTTTGTTTTTTGTTACTGGGGATTGAACTCAGAGGCACTCAACCACTGAGCCACATCCCCAGCCCTATTTTGTATTTTATTTAGAGACAGGGTCTCATTGAGTTGTGTAGTGCCTCGCCATTGCTGAGGCTGGCTTTGAACTCATGATCCACCTACCTCAGCCTCCCAAGCTGCTGGGATTACAGGTGTGCGCCATTGTGCTCAGCATCATGTGGATTTTATCTATTTTTGACCCAGAGTCTCAGGCATGCTAGGCACATGCTCTATCACTGCTACATGCCTATCATTGTGAGTCCTCCATTCTCCCACCTGTTATTCCTCAAAGGCAGGGACCATGTCTGTTACTTGCAGTGTCACCAGCACCTATTCCCAGGGTTCAGCCCACAGTAAATGCTCAATAAATATTTGTTGAATGAGTCAATAATTGACAGGAAAGACGTCCCGACTTGCTCTGGCCTTCTACCCTTGCACTGCTGTGAGACTCTAGGCAAGTCACCTCCCCTCTCTGCACTTCAGCTGAACCAAAGCTCCTAAAATCCCATCCAGACCCAGGGAGACAAAGGCATAGTGATTCCACTAATCTTGCTCCTTTGTCTTCTCTCTTTGAAGATGACACCAAGTTGAACCCTTACGCAGGAGATGGTGAGTATAGAACCACCTGCCCTCTTCCCCAAACCCCTGGGTCTGCCCTACCAAGAGGGTGCACTGGGCCTCTTTTTGTGGCCGAGAGGAGGAGCAAAGCAGCCAATGTGGATGGCCCAGACCTCCTGCTAGGTGGGAAGGCAGGGGGCACTCTGGGCACAGGCCCCTAGATTGAAGGAACATGTCTACCCAAACATTTCTACCTTAGCCAGATCCTCCAGAGGTTCTTCCTGGCCTCCCACTCTTGAATATTAGCTGCCCTGAAGAGGCGGGAGGGGAAAGTCTGAGCCTGGGCAGACATGRCTGGTGGGGCCGGTGGCCATGCCCCCCCCCCCCATGGGCCTCCTAGTCAGCGAGGGGAAGCAATTTCTCTGACATTAAGTTCCCTTGTGGGTTGGCCCACAGCACACAGAAATTGTCCCACCATAAGCTTTGCAGAGCACCAGAAGGCAGGTTCATCCAGCCTCGGGGATGCCTGGGAGGATGAGCTGGGGGGTGATGGGGCCCTCCTCCCCTGTCCATCGCCCAGGGCCAGCTGGGCTCTGCTGCAGCTGCTGTGAGGGCAGGCGCCCCTTCCTACTGCAGGCTAGAGGTTGTTCTCTGATTCCCTCAGGAGAGGTGGTTAAGGCAGTGCAGTTGGATGCATCTCCCACCAGAGAGGGCGCCATTGCTCCTCTCCAGGCAGCCGGAGGGACAGAGGGAGGCACAGAGGGAATGTTGTGGGTGGAGGGCTGCACATCCAGTCAACCAAGTCCTGCCTGTGAAGTCACCAGAGTGGCAGGTTGTGGGCTGGTGGCCAGCAGGTCCGGGAGACTGGCTTGTGACCTGTGTTACCTCAACTCTTCCCACCTCTTGGCACGGGGGCGCTAGCCAAGCTCTGCGGTGCCTGGATAGCTTCTCTCCTGAGTTTCCTCAGTTTACCGAGTGACAGAGAGCAGGGGCTAGGAGGACAATGATTTTGAACACGTCCTATTAAAAGCCCTCACCCTCTGTTGCCTCCCATTTCGCCCACTGGTGTGTAAAAAGGGCTCAAGATTTCTGTGGCTGACATAACCACCTGTCTTCTCCACCTTGTCATCCCTACAGTCCCCAAGTAATGTCAGGGAATCAGGCTGCCTAGAGCTGGCCCTGGACTGGTGTGTCCTTGGGTAAATTGCTAACCTCCATTTCCATTCCCTCAGTCACACAGGAAAGAGTRGGACTGGAGGGGCTCCCAGCTCTCTGGTCTGTGGAAACTTCCTGTCCTCCTTGGGGTGCATTCCAAACACTGAGATGTCCTTGGAGAGTGCCTAATGCCTGTTAGATCTCAGGGGACCTAGTCCATTCCGTAGAGYTCAACTGTGTGTCCACCATTTCTCCTAAGAGCTGAGGACACAAAGATGAATAAGACCCTGCCCCTGTCCTCCAGGGTGTCTCAATTTGGTCGACAGTGACAAGTAGAAATATCRTCCTTTGCTATCATAATAGTTGATACTTATTGGGTCTTCTAAGATGCTCAACATGTCCTCGGTTATTGACATGACATCTCATTTTAACCCTCACAATAATCCTATTAGGTAGTTATTGTTATTATTACTGTTGTTGTTGTTCTACAGAAGTGATAATGGAGGCACAGAGGTAAATAATTTGTCCATGGTCACGTAGCTAGTGTGTAGCAGAGGATAGATTTGAACCCAAGCAGCCAAATCCTAAATCCCAAACTCTTAACCATCACATACCCTTTATGAATTCCTTAAAGGTGGTTGTGTGACACCGATGTTCAAGAGAACTTCCCTTAYGATCCTTGTTAAGCATTTGGACAGCTTTTAAGTGGTTTTGGAAAACCTCCCGAGAGGTGCTAAGAACAACGTTAATGCTGTACTCCTCCCAATTCCACCAGCTTCTGTCCCACCTTTCTCATGTTTTTGATAAGTGGACCCAAAGGTCCTGTGGACTTTCATCTTGGGGACTTTTTTAGAACCCAAGACTCCATGGCCCAACTTTTCCTGCTCCCCTGCAGCCCCTCCCTGCCCTAATGGTCTCTCCACAGGTCTCCAGGACAACCTGTCCCCAAAGACAAAGGGCCCCCCTGTGCACCTGGGCACCATTGTGGGCATCGTGCTGGCCGTCCTCCTGGTGGCAGCCATCATCCTGGCTGGTATTTACATTAATGGCCACCCCAACTCTAATGCTGCGCTGTTCTTCATCGAGGTCAGTGTAGAATGTGGTCTCGGTTCTGCCGTCCACTCTGTATCAGGGATTCCAAGGCCATTGGGTACCCACCTTTTCCCCTTGCACTTCTCACACATCACCTGCCTGAGAAACCTACACCAGCCCCCTCCTGGCACATCTCTCAGTGGTTGGTTGGTGCCCTTTGTGTCCATCACCCCCAGGGTTCAGCCCCTTGRCTCTCTGTCCCTAGAATAGCCTGTCTGCTTTTGTTTCCCCATTTGTGAAACTAGAAAAGTCCCCAGAGGAAAGATTGAAGGCCAAAAATACCGTATAGAGCCCATTTAGCGGCTGGGCAGCCGTTCCCTAATGATTTATGGTGTCTCTTGCCCAAATTGCAGACTTGGGACTTATTTGGAGCCATAATAGAACCAACCTCTTTTGCTGCTGCTTTGGATTTTTTTAGATGACAAATGAAAAGTGGAAATGGTAATGAGGGCTGTGCTCTCTGGGAGTTTTAGTTGAGGATACTGTGGTTCCAAATGTCCCAGAATGCTAAGGGGCCAGCCGAGGTGCTGCACGGGAAGGAAGACTCAACCCCCAGCACTCTGAGCCACAGGGTCCAGCAGCTGCTATCCAGCCCTCCACTCTAAGCTGGGTTATTAGCTCCCAGAAGATAAGGCTCATTTCATAGAATTAGCTGAGTGCTCACAGTGTGTCCATGGTTTTTGCTAGGAGCTGAGGACACAAAGATAATTAAGATACTGTCCTTGCCCTCCKGAAGGCTGCAAGCCGGTGGTACCCTTTGGGAATTCCTTAAAAGTTATCAGAGARAACTTTCCTTATGCTCCTTATTAAAAAGGATCATTTCAAAGGTTTTCAGAGGGGCACAGTCATGGCCCTCTGGYACCTCAGTCTCCTCTGCACAGGTCACAAACTCACTGACCTTATTTATGGGTCCTCATCAGTCTTTCTGAAGTCTTAGCCTACCTGGGTATCACCTGGGAACTGCAGATCCCCAGGCCACAGGRACTCTGATGGAGTAGGTCTAAGCTGGGCCCAGGAACCTGCATTTCAGTAAACCCCCGGTTCCCTCTGATGCAGAATCTGTGATGTCTGGAGGGTTATCCTGGCATTTCCAGAGCCTCTCAGATCATTCCAGTCATCTCTGACCCATAGTTCAAAGCTTCAGCAACAGTTGTGTAGACCACACAAGTGAGGGATCAAATGTACTTCTTCCAAACACTGGCTCCAGTGGTCAAGGGGTGACAGTGGGGAGCCTTTTGGGGAGAGTGGCCCTGACTATCACCTGGAGCCCAGTGGGCCCCAGCACCCCAGAGTCCTTATAAGAGAGAATTATGGCACTGTCCCTTGGTGGTGGGGTCCCCATGGAGAGATCATGTCTGCTGACTCTGTTTCTGTCCCCCGAATCCCCTGCAGCGGAGACCTCACCACTGGCCAGCCATGAAATTCCGCAACCACCCCAACCACTCCACCTACACTGAGGTGGAGCCCTCGGGCCATGAGAAGGAGGGCTTTGTGGAGGCCGAGCAGTGCTGAGGCCAGGCAAGAAAACCCAGGATGGCCAGAAAAGATGAGCTGTGCAAAGAGAAGAAGTAACTTTTGCAGGCCTTCTCCAAGCACCTGGGCCCAGAAGASGAGATGGGTGGCTTGTGGTGCTGGGGCCGCAGTTTAGCCCACAGCCCAGCTAAAGAGGGGGCAGCACAGCAACCACGGGGGGGGGTTTAAAGGAACAATCACCTAATCTCATCCTGTTTAATAAGAGGGGTCTCCCCTTGGTTCTCTCAATGATCTACTCTCTAGCTGTCTCAGACCTACCTCCCCACTGGAGGTGGCCTCATGCCCTTCTGTCCTCTTGAGGCTCCTGTGTAGATCACAGGCTCACTAAAAAGCCTGGGGCAGGACTGCTGCGTTCCAGGGCATAGACTCAAGAGCTGGTCCTCCTGGCTCTGGAGGCAGCGCACTTAGCCCCAGCTTCTGTGGCTCTGGAAGCCAAAGAAGGGGTTCTCTCCATCTGTGAAGATCTAAGCCCTTAGGACATGTCATCATGGGAGAGAAGCCAAACAAGAGGAAAGGAAGAAGGGGCTGGGGCTYGGGCTCAGCGGCAGAGCGCTCGCCTAGTGCATGCGAGGCTCTGGGTTCGATCCTCAGCACCACATAAAAATAAATAGATAAAATAAAGGTATTGTGTCCAACTACAACTAAAAATAATTATTTATAAAAAAAAAAAAAAAGGAAAAAGACGCAGCTGTGGGGAAATTTGCATTTCAGACTTGGCTCCCTTCCCAGGACTTGGGCATCTGAGCAAGTACAACCTACAGCCAAGCTTTGCGCCCAGGTTCCACCTGGCGGGCTAAGCCCTGGGTAGCCCATGTCCCATGTGGGGCTCCTTTTCCCATCAGTATGTCAGGTGCCCATTTTACCCACTGGCCTGTACTGCGGTCGGTGCCAGTAAGTACCTCTAAAGGCAGAGCTTGCTTAGTTCATATTTTTCTTTCTCTGAACTGGATTTCTATAGCCATTAGGGACAAACATGGGAACTTGAGGATTCCTGGACACCCACCCAGCCGGGGGATCTTCTGTTGGACACTGTTGAGCAGCAAAGCTGCAGAGCAGGTGAGACAGAGGAAGCCGGCACCGGCACCGGAGGGAGAATTTTCTACCTAAGACCTTGACTTGGAAATGTCCCACCGTCTCCCTTGCTCTGCAAGAAGTTTTGGGGGCAGGGAGTGCAGACTCCCAAACTCAGCCTGGTTTCAGGGACTTCTGTCCCCGGGAGGAGCCAGGGTTGCTTCTGAAGGGCACTGGAAATTAAAATCTAGAGCTCACCCTCATTCTAAGTGGAAAAAAAAATTAAAAAGRCAAATAAATGTTAAGTCACAGTATCCAGTTAGTCATGCCCCTTTGTGCCAGGAGGCTGCAAAGGAAGAGTTAGAGCATCTGACAATTCAGTGTGTGTGGTTTTTTTTTTTTTTTTTTTTTTTTTTGGGGGGGGTAGGCAGTGCAAATAGCCAGACGCATGGGAAGCCTTGACGGATGGTTTTCTAGCTGCTTCACGGTTTATCTGCAGTCAGGACTCTAAAGACAAGCAGAGTGGGAAGCCCGCTGGTCCTCTGTCCTGCTTCACCAACTGGAGAAGAAAGGGCTGGGAGAGGGGGTAGGGGAAGAGGAATCAGCACTTGAGAAAGAAAAACGACAATGCAGCAGAGAAGAGTTCTTTGCAAACTTCAGAAGACAGAAGGATGGGTAAAGCTCTCCCAACAGTGGCCTGGCACCCAGACCTCCGGCCGACTTGGCTCAGACTCAGTAGCAAAGCATCTGTGATGGCCATGCCTAAAATGTTGTGGCCTATGGCAGTGGGCAGCACCATTTGCCTCACTCCCAAACTCCAGCACAGTTTTTCCCGGTGTTCAGTCACCCATTCTGGATTCCTGAAGAGAAAGAATGTTGACAATGGAAAAGGGGCCCAGTGACAGGGAGAACTCTGCCCCTAGCCACTGCCGGTGGAGAAGGGATGCCTTGGCCCTGGCCACAGAAACCTGGCTGACCCCTGGAGTGTCAGTGGCCAGGGCAGTGGAGCTGTTAAAACCAAGGATGAGGGCTGGGGCTAGGGTTGGGGCTGGGGCTCAGTTGGCAGAGCGTTTGCCTAGCATGTGTGAGGCACTGGGTTCAATCCTCAGCACCACATAGAAACAAATAAATAAAATAAAGRTATTGTGTCTGTCTACAACTAAAAAAAAATATTAAAAAAAAAAAAGAACTAAAGATGTGTCACTAAGAGAGGCCTCTGGACAATAATAGCCCCTGGACATTAATGGATTTCTCAAGCCAAAACACTTAGATCAAGACTCCCAAGAAACAGAGCCAAGCACCTCATAGTTGATGCTGGGCCCTGGGTATCCTCRGGGGTCTTAGACAAGATAAGTATTTCTTATACAGATCCAGGCATTGGACCCCAAGGCTTAGAGCATGTKAATTGGGTAGCAATGGTGAGTGTTTTGCTTCAAGAGTGAGTGACCAGAGGGAGACAAGGGTCTCAGGGTCACCGCTCGGAGTCTGGCTGCCCATCTAACAAGACGAGGGAGTGAGTATCTCAGATACTGTGCACCACCAACCAGATTTYCAGGCCTTTCCACCCCACAGGCATATATACTCTCCAGGGAAAGCAGGTGACTGGCAGGTGCCTCCTGGTGTCTTTGGGGATCCTGAGGGGTCAGAGTCCACGAAAGTCCATCACTAACAGGAAGCTCCGACTCTGTGAAATAGGACCGTGAAGTTTTCCATGTTGCTCAGAGATTGAAGGTTTTAGGAAGGCTCTGTTTTGTATCAGAACCCTCAAGAGAGCTAAACGAAAAATGGGAATACTAAGAGGAATGCAGAGGCCAYCAAGTTCAAGAAGACACCCAGAATCAGGCTGTGAGCACAGCCTTCATTCAGCCACTCCTAGATCTGTGGACCTGTCCAGTAAGGGCTGGACAAATACAAGTCACATGAGCCCAGCCGTGAACCCCAGCACCCTCAGGCCATAATCAGGTRTCACCCAGCTGGCCCAGCAGGCCCTGGAACACTGGAGGCCACTTGTTGAGCCTGAGGTTTAAAAAAAAAAATGTCCTCTGGTCACTATGAAGGTTCTTGATGGACCTTTGAAGACAATTTTTAAAAATTTTTATGTTTAACTAGAGTTTCCCTGCATCATGTGTACACACACACACACACATTTTATTTTTAAAAAACATTGGACAAGGCTGCAGCTGTACTCAGACTTTGCTGAGTTTGTTAATTAAAGACAATGGCACAAGCTGCCAGCCAATCACACTGTTTAAATGCAGCATTCACCCCTGAGCTGACCATTCATCTGACCATTCATCTGCAGGGCTAAGACTGTTTCCCAGGTCCCAGAACAGACTCCCTGGCCATGAGAGCCTACACCAAAAGAATCAAGGTCACATTAGTTTTTTCTCTCAAMCTACCTGAATTTTTAGCACATCAAGGAGGACCTGGGAACTAAGGGTACCCTCGCTGCCCTAAAAAGAAAGTATTCACATATTTCGTGTGAATTCTCAGTGTTAATTTTTTTAAAGGCAACAATCTTTTACAACCTCCATTGTGTGCAAAATAAAATGCTAAGGATTTGGGGTGCATATACCTTGGTCCTGATGACTGACATTTTCCCAAGGACCTGACCTTGGGAGCATATGAACATCTACCAGACCCCAGTCCATCAAGGGCACTTTTCCCAAACTCCTGCCCCAGCTCCAAGAAACATCTAGGGAAACAACCCTGGCTATTTACTTATTGGGTTTGTAAATCCCTGGAAGTCAACCTCATGCATTTTTAATCTACTATCTAAAGATACAAAATAAATCTGAGTAAGTGGATACTGTSACATTTCTGGATGCTTTGCATTTGAACAACTTTAGCAGCCTCCTTGTGTTTTATTACTTTGTGTTTTTGCTCACAAAACATAGTTTAGCACACCAAAACAAAGAGAGGAAAAATTCGAACTCCTCACAGCCAAAATCAACGATGCCAAATTTCAAGTTCCAAACAAGCCAATTTATAAATAAATATACTGTGTTTGCCAAATAAAGAGGAATGTGTTGGAAAAGCCAATGGGGACTGGTGGAGAGGTGCTGAGCTACACACGGAGTCAGAAGGTGGGAGCTTGGATCCCAGCCCTGCTCCTGAATAGCTGTATGACATGGGCCAAGCCACCCAACCTTTCTGGGCTTGTTCCACTTCTGTGAAATAAGTCAAGCTAGACTCATTGGTCCCAGGTAGGACCTTAGTAAACCACTCAACTATTTGTTTTCAGTTCACCAAGCAAATTAGACTAAAGCATGGGCCATGGGGCCACATGCCTGTAATCCCAGCGGTTTAGGAGGCTGAGGAAGGAGGATCGTGAGTTCAAAGCCAGCCTCAGCAAAACAAGCAAGGCGCTAAGCAACTAAGTGAGACCTGTCTCCAAATAAAATACAAAATAGGGCTAGAGATGGGGGCTCAGTGGTCGAGCACCGCTGAGTTCAATCCCAATACCAAAAGAAAAAAAAAAGAAATTAGACCAAAGCATCTCATTCTCTTCCATTATCCTGATAAGTTGACCAACTTATTTTAGTTGGTCCAGGACTTTCCTGTTTCTAACACTGAGAGTCCTGCACCCCAGATGGCTCCTCAGGGACACTCTCTCCTTGGAACAGCTCTCCCATCCCATTGGCACTTGAGCACTTGCTATTCAGTGTGTCCAGACAGTCTGTGTGAGCAATCTTGGGGTCAGTTGGAAATGCAGGACACAGGACCACCCTCCCYAGACCTGCTGAATCAGAATATGCATGTGAGCAGTCCAGTGTGATCCACACAGGTGCGGTCTCAGAAAAAATTCTATCTACCATATCATAACCTGTTGGAGAGGTACTGTTCCCCTCTTTCCCAAGATGGGGAAACTGAGGATCCGGCACGTGGTTTACTTATTTATTTATCCATTCAATCTGCATCCCTTAAGCATCCATAGAGTGCCAGGTATTACTATTAAGTTGACTTGCTAGCAAGGAACAGAGACAATCCCCAAACCCAGGTCTTCACATTTCTACTTGAGGTTTTTCTCTGTGTACCTCCAGGCAGTGCCAGGACCACAAGGCCACAGTTTAGTATAGAAACAGGTTGTAGGTTTTGACAGAATCCTCCAGGCCTCCAGAGATCCTCAGCAAGATGAATAGTGATGACTTCAGATCCTCACTCTTGGCTCCTGGAACTGTGAGCTTATCTTCTGCTTCTTTGTAAGGCCCCAAGAGTTTGCAAATGTCCTAACTACTGCTGCCTCCTCATCACTGAGCCCCACTCTAGTGACCCTCTCACTGAAGAATGAGAAGCACTCAGTGAACATGTCATGATATTTCCCTTCTTGAACGAGGACAGCAGTTTACTCCATCCTTATGGGGCTGGAGGTGCAGTAAGGTGGGAGACCCTTTATCGAACTGTTAAGACCAGAAAAATTCCTATGGGTGACGATTTCTTTTTCTGATATTCATAGGATATTTTTATATTTGGTCCCTAGAGATAGCTAAATCATGCTCACCATTTTCTACAAAGCTAAACACACAC